AAAGTTCACAGATTCCAGGTTAAAAATCTCTGGACTAGCTTATCTCCAATGCCCCTCCCCCCAGCTCTACCAATCTGTGTTCTATCATCTGAGGATGTTCTAAACCCAGACATCCTTTGATTTATCTGGGAAAACATCCTGTCATGCTGGGAGCTCCTTCCTCTTGTCCTGCCCTGGCCAGAATGCAGGGTAAGGAGCCCCAGCCCTACCTTCTCAGCCTGGCCCAATGTGTCTTCCCAGAGAGACATGGATGAAAGTGACAGGTAAGAGAGGGCCCACCTGGAGGAGAGCCCTATTTCATTCTGACTTGCAACCAGAGCATATAGATCCCGGCTAGGTAGAAGATTCATTGCCGGAAGGCTCACAGAATGTTTAATCTCTTAAGTGCCTGAGGGGATAGAAAAACACTTGCCCAGTAATTTATCTTATTTGTCTTCCTCGGAGACTCCTGCCCACGGATGTGATGGCTGCTTGCTCTGTGGAACTGATTCCACATTTGTTTCCTTAATGGACATACAGTCCCTAACCCAGGAGGAGGATAGCTGTGGATGGGAGAGGAAAAGAGGGAAAGAAGAGGGGATAGAGGAAGAGAAGGAGAGAGAAAGGGAGGGAGCGGATAAAAAGGAGGGAGAGGGGGAGGGAGAGAAGCAAAGAAGAGGGGATAGAGGGAGAGAGGGAGAGAAGGAGAGAGAGAGGGATCAGAATGAGAGAGGGAAAGAAAGACAGAGAGAAGGAGGGATCTTTGCACATGCATGCTGCAGCCAAGATGACCTTCATGGCCAAAGGGGCCCTCATCATAATTTACCAGTGGCCCACGTCCCCATCCTGCTGATGTTGCCGTGCAGAATTCTCCATGGAATGAGTGACCTCCAGCTCTCTGGAATCTCCAGCCATGGCTGACCCTCATCTGGCCATACTATTCACTTGGATGAATGTGCTAAGACCTTTCATGTCATACCTCTCCCCAAAGTCCAAAGCAGTGTGGTGTAGCGGGAAGACTGCTAAACATGGAGCCAGAAGGCCTGTGTTCAATTCCAGTTCTGATACATAAGGGATTATGCCACCATGCAAGTAAAGCCACCTCTCATAGTCTCAGCTGCCCATCTGCTAAATGGGGATAAGGACGCTTGCACTGCCTACCCAACCAGGCTGTTGTGACAAACACACTTTTAAATCTGAAAGCACTAGGGAAATGTCAATTCTTCTTGGGAGTGCTGATTACATCCTAGGCATATTGAAAATAGAGATGTGGGGATAAAACAGGTGTTGACCTTGGGAAGATCATAGATTTAGAGCTGGGAGGGTCCTCAGAGATCATCTAATCCAACGCCCTCATTTTACAGCCAAGGAAACTGAGGCCCAAGAGGTTAAATACCTTGCCCGAGATCACACAGGTGTCAAGGGTTAGATTTGAACCTAGGTTTTCTGACTCCAGAGTTAGTGCTCCAACTACAACCGAAATGTCTGCACCCTCACTCTGGGTCCATTTCCCAAAGCCAGATACTCTTGGTTTCCTGAATAATTTCTGTCTAGAACGAGTCTAGGAGAGTGTAAAGAGGTTGGGCAAGGAAGGGGAGCAGGCAGCAGAGAGAATGCCGTTAGGGGAGGAAGCCACAGAGAGTCTTAGGTAAGTTGTAGCCAAGGTGGAAACTCACCCGAGAAAATAAACATGGTCAGAAGGCAAAAAGCCACCATGCATCCCAAAGAGAGAGAAAGGCTGAGTCCTGAGGTCCGGCAAAGAGAGGGGCCACCCAGGAGTGCAGATCCTCTTGGAGTAAATGGCCAGAAGAAAGGGGACGGGAGAGGCAAGAGGTGGTTGTCTGTAAAGGAGAAGGAAAGAGAGCAGGAGAAGGGGGAGGAAAGAACCTTCCTAGTGTTCTATAGTCCCAAGGCTGAAGGGACCCTGAGAATCCAGACACCATCATTCCTGTATACCTGGTCATTCACAACACAGTTTTATGGAACTTTGCAGTTTGCCTGTGATTACTTACAGGGTTTCTTCATGTTCACCCCAAGTAGCCAAAACTCTATGTTATAGCCAAACCACTAAGCACTGGGAATTTTCACAAACTCTCCTCCATAGCTTAGACATGGTAATTCACAGAGCAACCCACAGCACTCTGCAGTTTGTTCAGGATTGCCCAGGCTCCCTGGAATAGGCTGTGCCCCAGACTTTTCCTACAACATCTGCTTTCCCAGTACAGGACATCCAAAACTGAGAACACTATTTAACCTAAGGGTTTTGTCCGCCATCAGCAAATCTATGCAGATGGATCCCAGCAAAATAATGTTCCAAAAACAAGTAGTTTCTTCACCACTACCATCCCACCTCTGCCCTGCCCAGCTTCAGAGAACCACAGGATACCAAGGTTTGGAGCTTTCCTGTCCCCAGCAGTTGAGATAAATATAGCTAACTTGGTACTGACAGCCTGGGACAGCATCTCCTTCTATTCCCTCAGCATATCTTGATTGAATTAACCTTGGGCTAGAGATCAGACCTGGGTTCTAGCCCTGGCTCTGCCACTAATGTGCTGTGTGACACTGTTCCTCTCTGGGCCTCAATGTCATCGTCTGTAAAATGGTGGTAACAATACTAATGCTTCCAAAACAACTCCAGGGTTGTGAGGAAATCATTTTTTGAAGCTTAAGGTACTCTTGGAACATCTGTTGCTACCACCATCATTATTCCCATCATTATTATCTTTATTATTATCCTTTATTTAGGTAAGACACTTAATTCTCTGTAGGCCCCAGTTTCCTCATCTGTTAAATGGGGAGAAGGAAACTAAATGACCTTTATGGTCTCTTACAGCCCCAAATTTATGTTCTGGGTTCTCCTTCCTGATGCTGCATCAGAGATCAAAGGAGGTAATGGGTGGGAAAGAGCTTCATGAACCATGAGATGTCATACTCATCATATAAGATGGAGACCCAGAGGCCAACCCAGGCTGTGGGGGCAATGATGGGCTTCCACAGACAAGGGATGGAGGAGGGGGAGGGGAAGGAGGCAGTTTCCTCTGATAGCTACAGAGCCTGAAACCGTGATGTTCTCCTTAACCCAGTCTCTTCCTCATTGGCCCCATACAGACAAAGGATCTAGCTGCCCCTTCAGTGAGGCTCCCTGACTACCCTATGTCTCCTCTCCCTTAAGCCCCAACCTACCAAAGGGGGTCTGAAATTCTGTTACCAGAGCCTCCCACCAATGATTTCATGGTTAGGAAGGTTTTTTTTTTCCTCTCAAGCTGAAATCTGCCTTGCAGTAACTTCCAACTCACTCATCATAGTTTGATTCATGAGATCAAGTAGGATAAGCTAACTCCTCCTTCCACGTGACAGGCCTGCAAATTTCTGAAGACAGAGGTAGTGGCCTCCCTCCCTATGCCCCTAGTGTTCCCTTCTCCAGGCCAAGCATCCTCACATTCATTCAACCTCAGGCCTTTCTCCTCTGGACAGATACCAGCTTGTTTGTGAGTTCTTCCTAACGTGTGGTGCTCACAACTGAACACAAGACTCCAGGTGTGGTCAGACTAAGGCAGAGGAGAGCAGGATCGTCACACCCTTCAGTCTGCACACTATACTTTCCTTAGTGAAGCCTAAGATCATGTCACCTTTTTTTCCAATACTGTGTCACATGGCTCATCCCTATTGATCTTAAAGTCCACTGAAAGAACTAGGTCTTTTTCATGGGAACTCTTATTTCCCACCCTCTGCAAAAAGCCTTTGCTGTTTCCCCTTAATGCTAGCGCCTTCCCTCTGCTAAGCTTAATAAATATAGATATATAGATTATAAATAGAGATATATATACACACACATACACACATATATGTATGTGTATGTATGAGTATATGTATATGTATATATCTGTGTATATTATGTGTATGTATATACACATACATATATTTATTTTATTTATATGTTATATATATGTATACATACATATAAATGTAAATGTACATCTTATTTGTACATAGTTGTTTGCACATTGTCTCCTTGAGAAGGGACTGTCTTTTACTTTTCTTTGGATCTCCAGTGCTTAGCACAGTGCCTGGCACATAGCAGGTACCCAATAAGTGTTTATTATTATTGTTGACCCTTTTCCCACCCTGTACTTGTGCAGTTGTCTTGAACCCAAATGTGGGACATTCCATTTGCCTCCTGTCAAATTTCATTTCATGAGATTTGGCCTATCATTCTAATTCCCAATTCCGTCATCCAATACATTCCTGCTTTATGGGAATTGGGTAACTGGTGGAGTTCGGCACAGTCATCAGAAAACCAATTGGAGAGCTGAGCCCCAAGAGATGGGGCACAGGATGGGCAAATCCAAATGAAGGAATGGACCTGAGAGCATGGAGCTCTGCCCTCACTAGGACAAAACTTTGTAATAATCTGGGACATTGTGGAGAGAGCATGAGGGCAATGGGCACTGCGTGGTAGGAGAGTAGAGGAAGAGAACCTACAGGGATAAGGTAATACTGAAGGATGTAGGGGAATCTACTTGGTTATATTGCTGGGGACCATAGGGACTAGCCCTGATAGACAGTCAAGAATAATCAGATAGATAGATAGATAGATAGATAGATAGATAGATAGATAGATAGA